GCACATATTGTTGTGTCTCCACTGTATCCTACTCATAAATGAGTTTTTTTTTAACGATTCTTCGCCTGAAATTCAGAATAAAATCTCGGGGATGGGGGTGAGTCGTTGGGATGTTACACTAATGGAAAAGTTATTGTATTATTTGTTTTTGTATAACCTTGATCATGAAAGATGAAAAGCTCATTAGTTCAGTTTTCAGTTTCGGTTTACACAACCATTAACTAGGCGTTTCTGTGCGGCCCTGTCTCATGACTGCCCATTTAGATTAATGAGTGAAGAGATAGCTGTAGTGTTTGAAACAGTGCCAAGGTGAAAATACAGGATTCATAAAGATTATCATTGGGAGGACACTGAGCAGATGAACAAACTTCTTTTTTTGCGGCACTCTACCATATCACTCACTGTCTCTAACCGTCGGTTACACTGACCACAAGATCTCCCTTCCTAAAAAACCTAACGCAACCTATGTGAGCAAGTCTCCTGGCCAGGTTTTTCATGTCGTGTCCTAGCTTGACCATCCTTCCCTGTTTCCACCCACTATGTGCCTCGCAAACATCGCGAGTCGTGGCAGTCTGCTTGGTAGCATGCCCCCAAACAACGTAATCAATTGAGTCGCCCACTTAGTCCATTGGGCGACCGCGATTACCTAACACTCTGTTCGTAGTCGGAATTACTTATCCAATTACCCCACCTAACTCCTTCAATACTGCGTAGACACCTTAATGGCCAAGTGGCTGCGTCACATAGTAGCACTGGCCGAAATGCTGCAGTGCATACTCAATTGTCGCGATAGATCTTTGAAGTTGGGGTGGTGGCGCAGTGGGTTAGTCACTGTCACCGCGCCAGGAGACTAGGTCANTGCATCCACTCGTTATTTTCCTAACACACTCTATATGTATTCCCCATCTTCCGCTTGGATTTGCTTCGACATTCCAATCTTCATTTCGCTATTTTATCCAAATGGGCAACCAAAAGACAGCAACCAAAACCGGCGCACGAAAGTGCATGGTTAATGGTTGTAAAACTGAAAAGCTGAAAACTGTCACCGCGGTGCATTGGACCCTATGGTCCGAGGTTCGATCCCTGCCACCGCCACCTAACTTTGCTGGGTTACAGCTTTGCTGTCGTTCTGTTCAATACCACACGTACCCTGGCGGGGCATTATGTGGTTCGCCACTCCAAGTCCCGGGGTTTAGATCACTACTTCTATCACTGAACTACAGGTCCTCGTGACTGTGAATTTCGTCCCGTCTGCTGTTCATCACACTGAGGTGTGCAATAAAAAGTAATAACCAAATATCTCTTTTCTTGATGACACTTCGTCTGTGATGCGTCCGCCAGGTGAGATATAACTGCCAAAAATTTTCCTACTTTCTATGTTGTTTCCTCAATTATGAGATTGGGTACTGGACCAAACCAGTCCTGTAGCAACATTTCACACTTTGAAGGTGCAAAACGCATGTTAAATATAACTGAATTATCACCTAAAACATTCAGAAAAGGTTATAGCTTACCTGGATCTGCACTTAGCAGTACAATCGCCAAATGAAACAATTTGACACCTAGTAGTAGCGAATCGATGTTAATATCCTCACACGAATACAGACTTGTTTCCAGAATCAAATCTTTAATGAAGTTCAACAAAAAAGAAAGTTGTTCATTTCTCGGGAAAAGCCCTATTTCATAAGCAGGACTGATGTCAATCTTCGGCGCAACCGAACCGGTTTCCAGAGTTAATCTTTGGAGTTGACCACCGTGCCGCTCACCGACAAGTGCGCAACTCAAGGGCAACCTGGGTATCCTGGATAGTTGGCCATATCCGAAAGGCGTATGAACTGGTCAGCCAGTCACCCGCCCCCATAGGATCGTGGACTCCCTACTCCACCGCACTGCCTTGTGGGTTAGTTTGTTTAATCAAAGTTTTCGGGTGGGGTTCTTCGAGAAAACCCTCTACTTCGGCCTGGACAACCGGGTAGTACAACGCCCGCAATTTAACCGTAGACTGACGGATTTATGCATTCAAACATGTCTGAAACTTTCACACAAAACTGTTCTCAAAATCTGCACGCAACGCTTCCACCCGTTCCTCCCTCATTTTTCCACTTTATGTCCTATCTCGAATGCTTCCATTGACGTATGTTCATGTCGTAGCTCACCGCTATCCTTGATTGATATATGTTGTCTCTCGGAAACACGCATTCAGGAACCGAGCTCAGTGATCCAATTAACGTCTCCTTCCGATCCAAAAGAATCGTTTCGATTGCGCGTTACCGGGGGACCCTATCGCATCAGCGTTTGGTCGAGCAGGCGTTGGTATTGCTTTAAGCGCCAGGGTGGTCTATTGGACTGGATCCCGATAGATAGCCGACTATGCGCAGTGAGACTCAGAGGCTCAAGTAAAATAAAAAAACTGAAGCAGAGTGGTGCTTGTTCGTGGTTTCTGCATACGCTCCCATAGACTAGCCCGGATACAGTCAAGGACGTTTTCTATCACAACCTACATGAGCTTCTTCTCAAAGCACCTAGGACATATATTGTGATCCTGGCCGGAGACCTGAATGCACGCGTTGACTGTCTGTCACCCGATGAGACCCACCTTGGTGGTAGTCATGGCCTTGATAGCTGTCGTTCAGATAATGGGGATAGACTTCTTAACATGTGCTCAGATCACAGTCTGTTCCTCGTTGACACGAGCTTCAGACACCCAAAACGTCACCTTACCGTTTGGCGTAACCCATCTTCAGCATTGGTCTGTTTCTAATTCTCTGGTGGCGCAAGTGAAGACTGGGACCGGGGTAGACCCCTTTGCTGTTTGGGGATTGGAACTTTCTCATATAAAAACAAATATTCATTCGAATTTATTATCAATAAATCGCTGAGAAACCCAGACCAAATCGCCTGTCCCTAAAGTATAGCTTACATTACGTTTCTGCTCAATGATGTTAAAAAAAAACGCCTTTCACAGCCCGAAACTAAGATTTACTGAGCTACACCCCTGATCAAGAAGCACGGAATCTGACGGCTACAGGCATGATGGATACCCAGACCAGCTTGACCTTTATGCTTTTACTCCAACCATTTTCAGCTGATTTATGGTTCAAAGTTTTTGAGTAGAGATGGAAGGGATCTGTTTACTGGAATCTTTGAACAAATGTCCAGAAATCTGATAATCCATGGAAACGTCAATCTGGTCCATTGTTTGACGCTTAGTAAATGGTTATCTGCGTTTGGGACTGGTCATAAGAACGATATACAATCATTGTCTTCTGTAGTTTACTGTGGCCTCCTATTCGATCGCGTTGTGTAGGTCNCGTGCCCGCTTTTTGCACGAGAAGACTGGTTGTCCGTACGATCCGTGACCTACGTCAGTCTTACTTTGTGATACTGTTTGTATGCTAGTTCACCAACACTCTATTGGATGTTGCCTAACTCTGCGTGTGATATATGTAAGCAGCGAGCAAAACTTACTCGACATGATCGCCTGATTTTCATCGAAGATCTGCTGTGCCAACGGTAATTTATTCATGTTTTATCGATGATTGCCTTTCTTTAATGCCGGTAACATTCGTTTACAAAATAATCCGTTATACTACTCATCAGTTTTACCCCTCATCTCTCTTGTCGTAGATGGCGCGCTTAATGAATCAAGATCCCAAACGAGATGAGATCGATTTGCGGACTCGCGCGGGAACGATGATTCAACTATCCTATGATCAAGTGTGCGCCGTTTCCAACGATCAATTGTGATTTCCAAATCCGACTTCATTCCCTTACAAATCGAGCTACCTGCTCTCCGGAGCGTGCCCGTGTGAATAACCCTTGTAAATAAATTTACTGTTTTTATAAGCATATTATATGAGTTCTGGATTTGTTTAAATAAACAAAACAAGAAAAGCTTTTTATGAAAGTGAAGATTGCCGAAATGAAAAACGCAAAGCCTCTGTTAAGGCGCTTAAACTGCGTAGAGACAAACACCGTCAACAGACAATGAACTACTCGTCGTGTTGATTGGAAGCGCCTTCTTTGCTTGGTGTGCATCCATAGGGGCACAAGCACTGAGGTTTACCTATTGCCTGATTGTTTTGATAAAAGCTTATTTGCTTCTAGGGGAAAATATTATCCATGATATGAGAGGTATGTTAAGGATAGGTTGACTGGCGTCAGAACGAAACTGGATAAGACTTGTTTAAATTGCCTTGAAAAATAATACTAATTGTATTTTGAGTAACTTGTTGACCAACACATAAACCCTTCGTTTCAACTATAAATGTTCCGGGTGAACGTTGCGCACTACTCATTGTTCTCTGAGTCGCCCACAGGAGGTCAACCAGTTGCTGTGGACATTTGGAATACACTACTCAGTGTAATTCAGTTATTACAGTTTTTATGCATTCCAATTCGTATCCGATTTGTATTCGCACCGGTTTTGTTTGTGAGAATCGTCAGTTGAAATCGGACCCTATCCACAATGTTGTGTCACGTGCGCTCTATCAACTGAATTGAGGGACCAAATCGACTGCTGTGATCTCTGCTTTTGGAATACATGAAGGCATTTACCGAAGTGTACTTTCAGTCATTCACTGTGAAACTTAAAAGAAATGAATTTTTCGAATACCGATGACGTGGCTACTGTATTTCCGGATCAAATTGTGTTTAAAACATCTGATTTTGGTGTCCGATACTCAAATTAGAGTAGACAGTTACACCGAGTTATTTTGGTTGTACACAACTGCACTGTTCACTGGTTCAACAAGACCCTTTTTTGGTTCGTCACTTTAATTTACACGGATTACGGGTGTCGGTTCAACTAACTGAGTTTTGCATCACTACTGGATTTATCCTTTCTTGCATTGCTCACATTATGTACTGTAGAGACCTTTCTCCATTGCGTTTTTGGCTGTTCCATATTCGTTGTAAGACACGTGCTCGCGTTTCAGTAATGTGAAGCTACTCATTCTGATTAGTCAGGCCTTGCTGATGGAGGTCCAATCAGAATGTCCCGCAAAATAGAGTTACTATGGGCGGATAGGGTTGCAACGTGGTACAGCAAAAAACGTAAACTGATAGACAAATACAAAGCTTTTTAACATAGAGACAGAAACGAAAGTGGTACACATGGGTGCAGAACACAGGTGTATCCAGGACTAAAAATGACCGTGCAATGGCTTACTGCGCATGCATAACAAAAATCGATGAGACATGGGAGTAGGGATCATATCTATCAGAAGGAAATCACGGAGCTTTGGGGAAAAACAAGTAAGTCATACGAATCGTGGCAGGAAAAGGCGGTGGCTGGTATTTGTTACACGGTTCGACTAAACCATGATCAAATGGGGGCCTGAGAAAAAAATAAGAGATAAAATCATTTTTAGACTAGGAATACGTCCTAATGTATGCGGTCATGGCCTCAGGAGTCTTGAAGTTCTTCATCATGACTGGGCTTAGCTCCAGGACTAAAACAGAAGCAGCATCGAGCTCTGTCGTCTATTGCGTCCTCATTGTCCCGTGGTTTGCTGCACGGAAATCGACAGAGACCCAGATGGGCAAAGGCTGATAATAGAAAGCACACTCCAGCAACCAAGAAGTAGTGACCTCGTTCACCAGTATATTCCACCAGACCGACTGAAAAAGTTAAATTAGGGAACGATGATCACACAATATGGTTCACAATTGACAGAAGATACCATGAGTGTTAGTTATGGGGATTAATAATAAACAACTATTGTACTCTGTTTGTTCGTTCGACACTGTTTTGGTTCATAATTAGGCAAACAGCATTTAATTCTAAGCTCCACTTCAAGATGTAAATACTGTCAAAAATGTATTACACATCAAAACTCGGGAGACGAGCATTCACGCATTGAATGGGAGGATGTTTGAACTCGGATTTCAGCAAACGTCGCAGAAATAGGGCGATTAAGATATGCTCGATAAATAATACGAATAATAAAATAATAGTCAAAAAACTTTCAATTACACTGGTTATTGGGACTTGAGAGCTTGAGCGCAGAATCGTTTGCGCGGTATGTATATACAGTTCAATTTAGTTAGTGCCACAAATGTCTACCTTGGTCCCTACGAATGCATAGATAAAATGGTTTATGTTGTGCTCTTCACGTGTAGGTCTCCTTCCCTGGGATTTTATTATATCTACACATGCTCAGTTCATTTTGTTAACGATGGAAATTTCGTTTTGAATCCCAACCGGCATGTTCGGGTATCGAGTTTTATCAGGTCAAAGCAAATAGTGCACGCCAATGACGAATTCCAATCAAGGCGAAACAGTCGTCCGCAGCTGTTTGTAGGTTATCATACAAACAATTCTGTCCCAAACTAAACGCGATGATTCGTTACATTTCCACACTCGTAGCAGACGTTATCTCATCCAAATCCCGCGATCAACATAGTGGAATTTCACTAGTAACAGTACGTGTAAGAATTATTATCGATTCCCGCTTATAACAGAATAATTACTTCCACGGAGATATTGAAGATTGTTGGGCTGGATTTTTAGGTTCTCGATTTAATAACATCTTACTCGACAGAACTTGGAGACTGTCCCATCCGACACACATATTAGTTCAGTGACATCCTATATGCGAACTCAGTTGAACACGGGCGGAATACTGTGAAGTGCTTCAGTGAGATGAGTTGTGTGCATGCAGTAGAAAAGTAACCCCTGTCCGCTTCGAGATTGACCATGAACTAATTCGTTTTCACGTTTCTGCTGGACGAATTGGCAATGGTTTGACAAAAAAATATTCAGAACAGAACTATTAATCAGGGTTGCCCAACTGCACACCTCGATCCAATGTGTCCAACAGGCCAGCGACAGCCCCAAAAGTCTGTTTCAGAGATTGGATGGTCTGGCAATACGCGGTCAAGGCAATCCAGGTGGACTTGTTAATCACTGCATCGAAACCACAGCGTTCGTTGATCGACGGACACTGCGAGGTTGGCCAGATGTTTACATGGGAAAGATAGTGGGGATTCACTCTAACTGCAATAAATTTTGTTATAGATCTGGTTATGGAAACAGCCCTATCCTCGTGCGACGACAGTGGTATCGATTTACTCCCAGGTAGTAGGCTGTCTGATCCAGAGTATGCAGACGACATTGTGCTACTAAGTGAAGATTCAGGTAAGTTGCAAGCTTTTCTGCAAAGTTTGAGTGCTAGTGTAGCCACGTTCGATATGCGTTTGGAACCTTCAAAGTGTAAAATGCTACTACAAGACTGGGTTGGTCCAGCACCCAGCCTCACTCTCACTGGGGAAGTAATAGAGGAGGTGGATAAGTTTTGTCATCTGGGAAGCTACATCTCACCCGGTGGACGCATCACGGATGAAGTGTCAGTTCGCATGCAGAAGGCTCGGTTGACATTTGTTAACTTGAAACATCTGTGGCGCCGTCGCGATATCCGGCTGTCTGTGAAGGGTCGAGTGTATGCTGCAGCAGTCCCACCAGTTCTGCTATATGAAGCAGAAACTTAGTCATTACGGGGACAGGAGGAAAGTAGATTGTCGGTGTTCAAACACCGCGGTATACATCGCATTGCATGAATCCGGTGTGGTAATTGGACCAGCAATGCTGAGGTCTGGCGTAGAGTTTTAGGTAATCGCGGTCGACCAGTGGAGCAAGTAGTCGACATTCATAGATTACGCCAGCTGGGACACGTGTTACGCATGTCATCAGATAGGTTGCCACGGCGAGTGCTGTTTGACGGGGCAGGTAGTGGGTGGAATAAAGCCAAGGGTGGTCAAGTTAAGACCTGACATGAGGGCATGAAAACCCCAACCAGGAGTCTGGCCCACATAGGTCCCGTTAGGCTCCCTGGATGGGGACCTCGGAATGGTCGTACCCGATGGCTAGAGACACTGAGTGATATGGTTGGTATCGTCAACAGTGGCGTTCGTGCATCTTATCAATTTCTCGGTGTCATTAGTTCACTGAACTTTTCAATTTTCTCTACGATCCTACTTTCAACCTTTCCTGTCTTTCTCCTAATGTTCATCCAAATGGGCAGCCGAGAGATAGCAACCGAAACCGGCGCACGGTAGTGCATGGTTATTGGTTGTACAAACTGCAAACTGCAAACTAACTGCAATATGGTTTTCAGTTCGAGGGCTCCGTCTATACACACGAAAAACATCGGCAGGTCTTTTATCACACACACACAAACATTTTAGGTGTACGTAACGGGCATTTGTGTAGCGAGTTATTTCTAAAATAACAAATTTTTTCAGTAGGTTTTAATCGTGCTACTCAAGAACAATCCTGCAACTTACTTACCGAAAAAAATGTAATTTAACTGAACACTAGATTTCGTTTCTCCCGTGCGTGATGAGGTTGGTTATTCTAACCAGCTGGAAGTCAGTTTTGATTCAAATGTTATGCGCCAACTGGTTCTGGTAACTGTCCAAGGGTTACCTTTTCCATATCGTTTTTTGACAATCGGTTTTAGAAGACCATGTGCAAGTCACACGTGACCGTTCTTTTTCAACAGTTTTCCCAGTAATGATCTCCACGAGCAGGAAATCGTCTTCAGCGAAATACGTACGATGTGTACTTTAAATAATGACCCATTTGGGATACCCGAGAGAAGGTGGGTGAAGTGAAACTTTCCGGGCATACAATTAAAACGCCACATTGGACAAACTCGAGAAAAAAGTACATGGTAGAACACAAAGTGAACAGCTTAGTTTGTGTTTGACTAATGACAAATTACACCATATATACACAAAGCATCGTTTGAAATTTCCAATAGATTCATGTTCAAAGTATGCTATTAGACAAGATGGGTGAATGTGACCAATAAGACGTCATGATGTAATCATACCTGCTACCATTGGTCCAATCACCGAAGCTATTCCTTTGATCAGATTCAGATTACTGTAACTTGCTGTTAGTCGCTCCAAACCCAGGAATCGGACGAGCAATAGATGAATCATCGGGACTGGCAAGCCTTTTTGAGGAAGGAAAATTACATACACTGAATGGAAGAATGCTATTGAAAGGAAACTTCAACGAAACAATATTGCACAGCATCAGAGGAACGGAGATAATGGGGATGTTAGGCCAAATCTTTCCCAACACTGATTGAGGTATTGGTAACAACCATTAGTCTTACTGTTTTTTTGAATCAGGGGCTTATAACGAACCAACAAAGAAGGATTATTTTGAACCATGTAAACTAAAACGCAATGAGTGCAGGTTTATCTCCAATCGTCAGTTTAGTACGTACGGCTGCTATTATATCCGGGGCTATAACCGGGTTGGTGGACCACTGGTAGTTTTCACATAGGAGAGTAGGCCAAAACTCCGGATTCCGAAACAACCAAGAAGAGGCGTAAGAACCATACACACCTTCCCAGTTGTGGCAGTGGTCACCGGCTCGATTGGGCATCGGAGTGCATTGGGCACCTTGGACGTTTGACCCCGTCCAAAGGGTGTATGTTCTTAAGAACTGTACACCGGCTTCCAATGGATTGTAGTTTTCACACACCGCCCAGGCTTTGCCTAGTCAAAGGCTCCGGTTGTGGATTCATCAAGAGGATTCACCTGCCTTGGCCTGGACAACCTGGCAGTATTTCGCCCACATAGAAATCATGGAACGTCTTTCTTTTTCATAGGGATTATTGTACCATGATTTGTTTGACACACAATCTGAATTCAGACTTGTGTGAAAATATATAAAAGAATATGATTTCAGGGCACTTTGAAAATTACGCACAGTATAAAAGTCTCCTTGATTTACATTAAACATCAAAACTTGTGAATACTACCTCTTAGGCGAAATGAAAGCATTTTTGGCTTCTATTATACAATATCCATTTAGCGTTCACAATAAAAGCAGTGTGATAGGACGTACCAGGGAATTCTCCTTTCTATTTTCCTTCGATATCTTAAAAATAGTGAAGCGATGTAAAACAAATACGGGCTTACTTAAGTCAGTTTCATAACAACAACAACACCCAGATAATAACATGGCACATCAACATTATTTTACATTTTATTGCATACGATTAGTTAACGAATTTTAAGGGATGCATGTTTGAAAGTACCCTGGTAAACAATGGTCCGGCGAGTAGTGAGTAGGCGTACGAACGATACTGTTTATGACATTCTGTCATATCAATCAATGTTCACCTGAATTCCCTATTTTCACTTTGATCCTGAATAGGACATTCCAATTTTCCCTTCACTCCTTCATCCAAATGGTACGACCAAAATAGAGCAACCAAAATAGCCTGACGAAGGTGCATAGTTTATGGATGTGTAAACTGAAACTGACTGCCTAATACTAACCTGTGTAATGCTGGGACCAACGATTTGTGAACTAGCCAAGTAACATTTGGTTAGGCACATCAAAAGATCTTATCCAATTGGATTTGGAATATTTACTGCAACGTTCCAAATGAAGCTCTAATGGTAAAAGTTAATGAGTCTTTTGTAGTAATTAGGCAAACAATTGTTACGGGTTACGGTTTCACCGTGACCCATAACAGACTGCCAGTCAACTAGGTCGAAAAGTTAGATATACAGTGACCTCATACGTGAGGAATGTTTCGGAAATGTGTGGTTATTCTCTTCCAGACAGCTGGAGCTAAGTTACGGCCAATGGCTAATAAAAGAGTGCCAACGGCTACAGAACGAGAATAAATGGCTACTAAACGGTGGGAAAAACCTGTGGTTTAGATGTAGGTTTGGTTTACAAAACAACTGAGTTTGTAAACGCATATAGATGCACCACTGGTTGAAAATACAAATGGTTAAAAGAATTTATGAGTGATTGAAACAGCGCAAGGTAAAGCTCCTTATGACTGGGGCTATTCGTGACGTGTTTTGTCTGCAGAAATAGTATAATGGAAAATTATTTGTAATTTGGAAAATGTTTTCCGATTCCGCGCACAGCAGATTCGATTGGCTTGGTAAAACTGTCTACCTTATTTCATTATCCTTTATATCAAATCGTTTTGATTTGCACGGTTAATTCCGTAACTTATTGCTCTCAGCTGAATCAAGTTTCTCACAGGCAAGGACGATGATGGCGTGATTAGTTCGTGTGTTTGATATAATGTCTTGGACATAATGACAGATCTAATTAATTCACCCTCCAGCAGTCAACAGTGAGGATGGCGAAAAAGCAATTCGCCGAATCGGCTTCACGTATTAACTGGTAGCGTATTGCTCGTGGAGGTCACAATCAAACTTGACAGTATACCTAGTTGCACCTGCTCGCTTATTCTTTTTCCATGTTCGAGGGGATCTTTGGCAGGGCCAAATATTTTAGCGTCAGTTCTCCGGAACACTGATGGTTTTCTTTGGGTCAAATTTCACCTGATCAAAAGGCCTGAAAGCGTATGGATACTACGAAGAACTTGAATGAGAGCATCATTTTTGCGCCAAAGTTGTGAACCGTTTCAATGACAAACCCACTTACATCATAGATTGATTGGAAACCGCTGACCCTGATTCATAAACTTGGGATAGGTTGGATATGGGATGGTTGTTTCAGTTCGAAACTTACCACTAAACATTCCAGAAAGGGTTGCGTATCCTGCCAGTGCAGCAAAATTGATTGGGAATAACAGCGGCAGAGCCAAGTGTGTTAGAGCTGTAGCCAATGTGCCAAATCCACTCAGATAGACTGTATCAATCCAAGGCATGTTAGCAGCAAAACCAGACAGTATTCGACCGACCGTGTGTAAAGAACCTAATTCACAATAATGAACACAAAAGATTGCAGGGTGATTGTTATTGCTTTGTTTGCTGGAAGCGAATATTATTGTTTCGGTATCAGTGAATTGTCACATCTGCCCGTTACAAGCACCGTCAGTGTCATGTGGTGAAGCGTGCGTAAACGATGAGGAACATTATCAATCAACTATTAGCAATCACGATCAATTATTTTTAATTGAATCTTCATAATAGCGCCGTAGTATTGCAGGATCATTCTCATTATATCAACAGAAGCATGACAATTTTGTGGAAGAGATAGTTATAGACCGACAGGGTTCATTGTTTCGCTTTATGTGGTGTTGCATGAGTCCGACGTGATAGCAGGACAAGTAGTGTTGAGATTTGATTAATCTGGATAACTTACAAAAACACAACAACCTATAGATCAACTGAAAAGATAAATGCCCATCGTCACATTGAATAATTAGCACAAGCATATGCTTGCTCATTGAGATAATCCAATTAACTTTTGGTCTAAGGTTAAATCGGAATGCACTCGTTACTCCGTATGTCTATCTGTTTGTGATTGCACATGTAATTGGGGCACGTGAAATGTTTTGCAAGATTCGCGGACGGATGGAAACGGAAGCATGTTAATTCGATTGGTAGGGAGTGATTGCGGTCGAAAAATTCCTTATACACAACTAATATGAGGAAGTATGTGTGGATCAGAATGCTTTACGAATAAGCGATTTAGAAAAATTCAGAGAACGCGGTTCTAAACGGTTAAACCCACTTTATGGAACTAAGCAAGTCAGGGAGAATAATCGATGGGAAACAAAGTGAGACAGACATACTTTAGTGGTAATAGATGATCGGGAAACACAAAACTGAATTAACTTTGAACTTTGAAACTCTCGGTGCTGCAATCTGCTCATAATATTACAAATGTAAGTCGGAGAGCAGAGATTGTTTTTTAAAGTGACTCTGAGGTACGTAATATTGTTTATCCTAGATAAAGAACTGATATTCATTATTAAGGAACCTGTAGAAACAGCGTACAAACCAAAATAGCATTCAAAAGATTGGATAGAATTTAAAAGTTAGACCGGATCGATAGGTGATAAGCTGGGTTTGAGAAGGAAAACCAACGAACAAAATGAAGTCAGAGGAAGGCAAACTGGTTCGGGCGTCAAACGAACTCATCAGCATACCTCAAAAATCGGTACGCAGTTGCAGGGCTTCTTGAATAACTCAGTAGTTATTGACAAAGTTATAGGAGGAAATCTGTCCTCTTAGTTTATGTTCATTCAGTAAACTGGATGAATAACTAAGTCCATGGGACATTTGTAGAAGTGCTCACCGAGGAATGAAGTTGAATACTGAGGAATTGTCAAGGACAACATAATGGGATGGCTTAATGATAAAATGGTAAAGATAGAGATTGCATCCACAGCGGATCTTCTCAACGCGTAAGGAAACTATAATGGATCACAGGCAATGTTAATAGACTTTTTTAGGCGGTTAAGAATAAACTGTGATGGTAAACTTTAGGGTAACCAATAACAAAAAATGAGATGAAGACAGTGGTTGTACCAATGGAACTTAACTGGAGAAGATGAAAGATTTTTATGTTTCTGGAGTCGATATAATTGCGACCGGTCTCCAAGTATATGCAATAATTGACGAGCAAACTGATTCATTTATAAAAGTGGTGAGTGCATTAGTTACTTTTATGTTTTTTATCTTCATGAAAGTGAAAAGTCACACATTCATTGATAGTCATATTTTAAAATTTTCTCTCGGGCGAAAAGTCCTAAACTTTCGAGTACACAGTATTTGTTTCACCGATTACTAAAAAGGACTGTAAAAAATGCAGTCTCTGAAAGCGGAACACTAAAGCGCTGAGATACTGACTGAATAAAGTCAGGTGGAAAATGAAGTTAGTGAGTACAGTAATTTTCAATCCTGTCATATTGTTCACCTGGTGACAAAACGAAGAAAATTGTGTTGTGTTCTTGTCTGATTATCCCTACACTAAGTGGATGGCAGGATTAATTCTTTTTCAATCATGGCGGTAATAAAATTCTGCAACATCCTCAATTATTACATGCCACAAATTCAGCTGTAATAACTTATCGTAGAATGGAGGCGAAAAGGTTCCGACGGAATACCATTTACAAACAGTAGTAAAAATTTCAAAAACTATTCTTCTTTCTCATTGGGTTACTTGATTCCCTAATAATGGTCATTGATCCAAGTGTATGATGATTTTACATATGCACAGAGCAATTGATGAGTTGCCTGAAAAGATAGAAAGGATAGCTCCTTTTGACCTGATTAGGTCTCATCAGGGATACAACTCCATCGACCCAACTGAGGATTAGGCATTATGTTGAAGATTAAAAGGTAGTCCGTTCAACCACATTACAACCTACACCACCAGTCACAAGTAACTTTGAGGTGATTTCGATTTCTATGATTTATTGATGTCAAACGGATAAGCGTAATTGTACCGTTTGAATTACAGTTAAAAGTATTTGCCGAAATTTGGAGATACAAGATACTTTCCAACCTATTTACCTTCTTTTGATATCGCCAATCATAGTGTCACCGATGAAATTCTATTTCTCTCATAAAAACCCTTCATTGCAAGTCAAATGAACCATTACATAACGATTGGTGTAGATTAAACCCACATATTAGAACGATAGGAATTTAAACATTGACCTAACTGTACTTCGAATGTACTAGCATTCCGCTTTTCAGAGGGTTAGGTCAAATGAAGCAGTTCATTCTAATGCGGTTGTTCCGGGGTTTTCATCGCACCCTTCCATGACATACGGTCATGTCATTTGCTGTAAATTTACTTTGATATGCACTTGGATCAGGTGTTCTATTCACTTTTATTGTTCAAGAGATTCATCTTGTTAAGGCGAAGCAAAATGTCTCAAGATATCGAAACCAGAGAAAGAATTCAGGAATATCAGTGGAGAGCATCAAGTAAACACTTTTCTAACTCACCAATTTTCCTTTACAATTCCTAAACAGGATTAATTGATTGAAATTTAGTTTAAGAGTATTTCTGCGTTGCCCCCGAGATATTACTTCAACCCATAACTGGTGATGCCATTCTTTTTAACTGCACACGTGTAGGTCAAATGATCAAGATATACTGTAGTTATTAGAATGATCCCTGTAAGGAATATTGCTACTATAGACTCATTGATGCATTGAGTAGGTTTGCCTCTTCTGTCAAACGAGCAAATTTTGAAGTTTTATATTTTCGTACTTCTTTGTACCACAGTTGCATTTTTTCATACTGATTGCTCCTTCTTTTCAACCCCTAAAACGTATAACGGATGAACTTCGTGCACTTTTGATTCCGCAATAAATTTCGCATTTCGCGATATTGTGTTTATGTCAAAACCTAAATTTTAATCAGAGTATTCGTGGTAATAAAGATGTAGAAAGCTAAAGATTCACACAAAAAGAGTGCATCAATTTTGTAGTGACTCGACTTGAATCGATGAGCAATAGTCGAGGTGAAACGTAGGGCCACAAGAACTTACAACTGCAGTCGGAAATATTGGGACATGAAGTACGCGTCAATAGGGTAGACATGGTGCTGAGTGTGATACTGAGTATAAACGGCGGCAGAGCAAAACCGTACTTGCTTTGCATTCATACAGTAGCCTAAGTTTTGCACGTCAGTATAGTGCGTCATTGAGAAACAAGCCAGGGCCGATACACAAACACTTCGGTGCAAAACATGGTTCGATATATTCGACGGGGATGTGAAGGTAACGTAATGATCAAAACGTTTGCAACAACTGACTGTTTCGAACTGACAAACACGGGGCGTAAATGATCGCTGTCAAGGACCAAAATATGTGCTATTCGGGATGACTTTGAATGTAGTGTGATATCAGTAAAATAATTCAATAACAAATAAAATAATTTATTATCGATCATTTAAGCAGCATAAACTTAAGGAAAATAGGGTTATAGGGAGAACGTAGTGGTCATCATCATCGGCACCGTCTTTATTTAATTGTTTCTGCCATTTATGGAAATTATTTGCCGCCTCAGAGGATTACGATGAACATCTTTGGCAAACAAATAAACAGGCTTCACGACCCCTGAAAACGAAATTCTGGTGATGCTTATCTCATACCAAAAGTTTTTCATAATGTCTGGTAGAAAGAGCCTGCTATTTAAAAAATATGTATTTATCAGGATTAAGCTTCAAAAATGTTATTCAAATGGGTTGTCATTTTAAAGGATTATTATGCTAGTAAAATAAATCCAATATAACCAATGGCAGCTGTTCGTTTATTTACTCAAGGTAATCACATTTCATCATATTGACCCCGTGCATCATTTTGTATTTCTTCAGCCCACGCATCAGTTTACCAGGTTTGTTCAGGTTTAGCCTCTGACTATTTTTTCCTCCTGTTTGATTTTTTAACTTATTTTAAAAATAAGGGGGAAAAGTGAGCTAATAGAGACAAATATAGTGCGCAAACACGTTAAGTGGAATAAAGACTATGAAGAACGGAAGATACGGGTAACATGGGATTTCATCATTCCAACTTACCCAAAATCACACTGATTACTACAGCCTGGTTCACCTGTAGTCCTTTGCTTCTCGTGTAATCGACCAGATAGACAAACGGAATGAAATATGCCAGCTGATTGGTGACCCCAATTAGCAACAGGAAGAGGAAATGCACGTTGGTGAACAAATTCAAATCAAATAGCTGAACAACGCGATCCCGGAATCGGTGAGTGCAAGTTTCGTCGGTTCGCATACTGCCCAACTCAGTGCTGCCCATTTCCTCCGTAGGTAGTCTGCGGTCGCTCGAAATCAGACGGTCACCATAGGGTTTAATTGAAAAGGAGCTGTCAATATAATGAGGATGCAAATTGTTGGCTGAACCGATTGATAGATGATGATGGGATCCAGGTCCCCGACCGTGGAGAGCGGAAGATGATCGAATAAAATTTTGTCCGGGCAGATTGTGTTGACTACCGTCTAACTGGCCGGAGCCGTTCCCTTCATTTCGTCCAATTACGGATTGGGGAATGAAGTAGGCGTCTCTTGGTCCTAAATTGGCCAAACTTGCTGAGAAGAAAATGTCTATCCGTTGAAATGGATCGGCAATCAAACTGTTTTTATGACGGATGTAGGAGCCACGAGGACCAGTAGAACGGAAGAGATGCGCGTCTCCGGAACCAAAATCCAAAAGGTGGTTAACAATTGAACTGTATCGCTGATGAGAGCTTTTACGATTCCTTTTCACAGCCAAAGTGGACTTCCACAGACGAGATCCAACTGTGGACCCAAACTCGTCAATATTGTGTTTATCGTCGAATAGATTCCCAGCTTTTCACAAAAGAATGCGAGATACCAAATTTCTAGTTAGTAGTAGACTCTCAAAGAAAAAGTACAGGCTAACTAACAGCCCCAGTAATAAGAGCAACCATGTCTGCTACATGAAGCCTATTGATACTTAAACATAATGAATTGAATATAATCAACACTGGTACAAAGAAATCAATTGTGTACTGTTTGAGTTTCTACTTACATATCTCCCGGGTGAAGCAAACCGAAGATATTTCGTTTTAATTTAATTTTTATCCTCACGACGGTAAAACTATTAAAAGATACGAGGTTGTGACAGCCTTTGCCCATCTAATGGCTCAGCTCACTTCAACACTGGTTGGCTATTAGTAGGCGGTGAAAACAGAACAGCTGTTTCGGTTTGCCCGAGCTCATCAATGAAGTGCTTAAGTTATGCTTCTACCGTGAACTGAATCGCATGTTTTAGAATTTACAAGCAAAGCCCGTGGAATCAAAGTGTATCATTAGAGTGGCTGCAACTGAAACTTTCAATCCACTAGGAAGAATTTCCGTGATGAGCAAAGGTTTTGCATTAAGAACACGGCAAGTAGATGTCAGGCACACCGTTGATAATCTCATTTCTAGACAAATACAGTGCGCATATGTGGGAAACGATATGCTTTGGAGAATATGTTAGGTGTTTTTACATGAATACGTGAATGTGCAAGTTGGCTACTACAGTATACCGAAATCTGAGAGAATCGAAGCCTCTTCTAAGACAGTGAGAATGCTGAACGGCTCGTAATGTTTGGTTGATTCATTACCCTTTATATAAGCTTCGTGCGAAATGGACAAACGTATATACCGACCTGGTTCTCTCTTGACATTTTTGTAGCTGCTGAACGCTTTGGATTTTATAGAAAATTTGGGGACATACAGGAAATCGAATGAACCATTGAGCATATGCTCGCAACTCCTGCTAGTTTCATGTATTGACTCAGGGCGTTGATAAGATGTGCTGAAATCTAACGGGTTTGTGTCACCAGTTGATGCTCATTTGACTCAATAAATTTGATCAGTTTTTAGAGTGAACTATCAGAAATACAAATCACTGAAGGTGATTTGGAATGAAGGTTGATTTCCCAAGATTGAATGTATGCGAGTGAAATAGTTGAACATATTTATTTGACCGGAGGAAACCTGTAAGTGGGTGTATGCTTACCTGCGCTTTTCTTACGCAATACACGAAACCATGAGGAACCCGGATTCAATTCGGCCTCGTTCATTACAACTTCATTTCTCAAATAAACTAAATCCGTGGGAAGTATCGCATCCGACTGTGGCTGTGGGAAGTTGACATTTAGTAATACGGCCGATGGAAAGAGAGACATAAACCAGATAGAGAGAGGGAAGAGGACAAGCCAATAGGTCATAAAACTAACGAAGTAGGGAATAAACAAACAGAATTTGATTGTTTTGGTTCAATAAGTCATTCAAGGGTAGAAAATTATTCATTCAAGTGTATGCATTACGGTCTTGCAAACGTGTTTGGTAAATCATAAAATGGAGTGACATTATATGTGAGATGAAGTAGATAAGATTCTGCTTAAACAGTTCCACAGAACACACGATGAGAACGCAAAACTAGCAAATGAGCTCGCTTTCAGTACATCCTAATTGTAGAGTTACAACACAATATATATGAGCAGTTACACATAGTGATTTACGAAGAAAAGGACAATATGAGGGTAATGGAGGATTCGATTCAATCTCAAGGAAAGAATTCGTCATAATAAATGCAAATGAGGTGTGAAATGAAATGCTAGGAAGCACTTCACGCCTGTTTCGACCTGGTTGAGTCTCATCAGCACTAAGAATCCATTGATCCAACTGGGGATCGAACTCAGATCCTCAAAGTAAGAACGCATGCATGCTATCTGTTGCCTGAAATCAGCAAGGCGCGATGCCCACAACAAGCTCACAAAAGTAGGTTGTGCTATATCGGGTAAATAGAAAATGAAAACGGTTTTATCAGTTGCCCGGTGGCCGAGTGGGTAGCTTGCTTGCGTTCTACCTGTGAGGTCCAGGGTTCGATCCCCAGTTATGTCGATGAATTGGCAATGCTGAAGATACCAACCGAAAAAGCAGTGCTTGCATTTCACGCTTCATTTGCTCTATGCGCAACGAATCCCCTTTTTGAAAGGAAACTACTTATTGCCCCGAAAGGTCTCATGGTGAAATTCGGATGTGATCATATATATCTGCCAAAGGGACTAACATTCGAAGTGATTTATTACTGTGATAGTTTTCTATGCATATTGTTTAGTAACTGTAGTAGATGTAAAGTGGTTTTTTGCTCTCTCACTGACACTTTTCCAAACTAGATGGACTGTTAGTTACTCCATCGCACAACCGGCGTTGGGCACCAAGAAGGGGTTTTTGTGAGTAGCGGATGAAGGAAGAACGACTTGATCCTACGAATCCTAAAAGCTATAACAGCGATAACTCCTGACACGAGGATTTTGATTTAAATTTTTGCAAGATGTGTTGAAAGTTGGTTAACCACAGCCAGGAAGCATCACATTGTTTTAGGCTGAACAAAATCCCGGAGAACGTTACGTAGACCAGCGTCAATGGAAGTTTCTTTACGATTATCGACTTGAGCGCGTCAGCAGAACGGATAAACAATCCGATATTTTCCAGCTGCTTTCAACTAAATATAGACATTTGTCAAAGCAAAGTGTACGTGGATGCACAAAATACGCGAAAGCATACATCTTAGAAGGAAACCGGAAAAGTAATTTTCGGAGAGCTAATAGCTGTTTGAAGACCTATATCTTTGCATCACTACAAATTCTCTGTGGTGATATTTAACATCCAACCATTTATTCAACTTTATAGTTTGGTTTAAGGTGATTCCAATTATGAATCAAATAACGTCTCACAGTAGTCTTTGATTTATCGGAGTGATATCGGGCAAATCTGTCTGGTGAATCTATAAATCACCTAAGAACATAATTTCGATGTACTAGATAAATGCTTTTACGTATTGTGCTATTTTCATGGACAAATTTAAAGGCGAGAATTTCTCCGCCCCTGTGGCACTGAGTAGACGTTTCTTTCAGACACAACCACTATGATTTGGGTTTAGCAGAATGTACCGTAGCACAGATCTGTCCACGTTTATGAAGGAAAACGGTTGGTTTATCGTTGGTTATCTGATGAAAAAGTGTAATGAGGCGGGTTTTATCATAATTCAGTAATCATACTGTGCAGAGTTTTGATCGATATCCATGCACCATCACACATCCAGCAGTGCTGCGGCAAGTACTGTAAGACATAGTTACAAACCGCAAGTCATTTTGATCGGTAATAGGAAGCTGATCACGCACGAATAAAGCCATAGTTGTAACTTTAAAAAAACGTGACACATGCAAACAAACGATTACGGTATACGAAATATATGAAAGAACGTTTGGAATCGAAAATAAACATAATGCATGTTGTATTTGCAGAATGACACGTGAATTAGTACGGTAGATTTATCTCAATTCACTTTATATCCCTGATGATGAGAAGCTTTTGATCCTACCTCGGAGTTGACACTCAAGGGGTCAAATCCCCAGAAGCTTCAATTAGACAAGGGCAGTACTCGATGGATAACTGTGTGCTCATTGAGAAGTTGCAAAGAGCTCTGGATGGGCAGGAACAATGTTTTCTCGGTTCCAGCGCATCCGTTGGAGTACTTAGATGAGTAATTTTGCAACGAAACCCAAGTTAATACCTCTATCTGGTTGCAATGTATTTCTGTGCTTTTAATTTGATTACTATCCATACCAATCCAAGTAACATACATACATGTGAGCCATCTGAAAACTGAAATCCGCAAGCAGAGTTAATGTCATATAGACTGAAACAATGGCATCTTAAGTGGGCTCATCCCAATGATAAAACAGGAAAAGTTCAACGTAATCTCTAGGACTCAGGGCACTACAACGTTCCCTTAACTCGGGCATTAGTCTGCCAAGCTAAAGTCAACTCAAAATGCTGGAAGTTTTGACATTCCCCGAAGCCTTAGGCATCTATATAGAAAATAAGCTCGTTTGTCGCTCCACTTATGATAATGGTGTAGAAATCTTNTTCAATGAACATTGTTTAGAGAGATCACCGAAAAAAAACGAAAAGCTACTGGCTTGGAACCTGGCAAAAATGCACGCTGATTATTCTGGGCAGAGTATTTTTATTTGTCTGAAATTTTGTATGGACAGAAAATTCGCATTTATGCCAAAAATTACACGCCACCTCTTAAGAAAAGGAGGGAACAGTACTTATAATAGAAGTTATGCAAAAACAATTTACTCTCATTGGTAAGGGTCTTATTCCGATAACGAGCGTTGAACTTTACTTAGATGTCAATGAAAAATATTAAGAAGCTACACGCAGAATGTCCTGAGTTATGGGCACGATATTTGGATTGAACGCGTAGTAAAAGTTAAGTGGGAGNTGCGATTGTTCACATGTAGACAAGGGGCAGTATAAGAGCCACTGACAACCCAAAGTCCGCTGTAAAGAGTTTTGTAATTTTTTAAAGTAGCATATCGGGTAACTAGGTTGAAATTCATGAATTGAACCCAACTTACAGCTAGAAAATGGATTTGATTTATCTCGTCACTTCATTTATTCCCCTGGTTTTGTCAACTAGTTTCCTTTTTAGTTCTGCCTAAATTTCTCATGTTCTTTTATCTCTGGTAAAATAGTGAAGACAGCAATGGTGAAGTGCTTATGATTCAGTCCTCTATTCCAGGCGCTCTGTTACAGGTATTGTTTAATGCGTCGAAAAATGATGACCACTATACAAGAGTGTAAAACGTCCCATCCGAGCCGCACACAGGAGTGGTTAGCATTTCAGAGGATATCAAATGCATAAAAGCCACACTTGGAACAACACAACCACAATTTTCCTCATGTCAACCAGTTATCGATGCAAAATTCGGTATATCACTCTACAGACAAGGACCTTCGTTCCAAAAGTTGGTCAGAGTTCGCAAAGAAACAGTACTTTTAACCACACTAAGAAAAAGTGTTAACAGGATGAGTACGAATGATGCGGTTTTGAATAGGCAGTGTTGCAAAGCACGGGGGAGTCACTGATCGATCATTTCGGAAGCAAGTAGAAGGGTTATTCAATTGAGTGAACTGAAAGCCAGTCCAAAATCAATTCGTTGGTTAGTGCTACCGTAGACCTGAGGTTTTATAAAATAGTTCTGTGCAAAAGCATGGAGGGATTTAGCGAACTGTATTTTTATTCAGTCGCCCTATCGGATCTATCTACGCAGTTCACGCACATGAAAAGGTAGTAAGTTCGAACGCCCAGTGGGCGTGAGAGTTGGAGATTCAGAGCAGTCTGAAGTCCTTTACTTTTGTTTTGTAAGTGTTGTTTTTTGTTCTATGAAGTAGATCTAGAATAAGAAACAAATTCAATGCAAATCTCAGGCATATTTTACTGTCTCGATAAACCCGAATTTGACTCACCGTCTGCTTTGAAACTGGTAAGCAGGATCTGGACATTCAATTCAGTATTCAGGGAGGGAAAATGAACAGTTATTTTAAAATGATAAAGTCAAAGGTAAAGTTAAAGTCAAAGTTTTATTATGGGAATAGCTTACAAGCTGGTGCTTCTCTTGTTCCATAGGA